AAAGACGACCCCTGTCTTGTTGCATGCGAGGCTTGCGCACGTCAGCGTCGACACGATCAAGAGCTGGGCCAGGCATGAAGTGGCTACAGGGCTCGATATCACGCCGTCGACCGGAGCAGACGCGCTGTGTGTCTTGTGCGTCGGAGGAAAGCTGGCGCGACACACCTTCCCCACCAAGGGCTCGGACGCCAAGGAGGCACTGGCTGTCATGCATATTGACTTGTGCCGGCCATTTCGGGTGGCTGCCAAGGATGGCAGCTTGTACTTCCTGCTGCTGAAGGATCGCTTCACTCGGTTTGTGTGGGTGATGCTGGTCACGAGGAAGAGCGAGGTGCTGCGGGAGTTCCAGAAATGGTTGGTGTTCGTGGAACGACAGGCAAAGAAGTCGGTGCTATCGCTTCGCTCCGATCGAGGAGGGGAGTTCCTGGAGAAGGCGTTCACCAACTTCGTCGACGGGAAGGGCATTGTCCACGACCTGACGTGCCCCTATACTCCGTAGCAAACGGCATGGCTCAGCGGGAGATGCGCACGGTCGTCGAGTCAGTGCGGACGATGCTGCTGCACATGGGCGTGCAGCACCACTGGTGGCACCTTGCTCTACGACGAGCGGTCTGGGTGCGTAACTGCTTGGAGCTGTCGACGACGCCGCCAGGGACGATTCCGTACCAGCTGCTGACCGGGCAGAAGCCCGATCTTACACTGGCGCGGGTGTGGGGCTGCATGGTGCAGTTCATGGTTCCGAGCAGCAACGTGGTGGGAAGCTGGCGCCGAAGGCTCGCTGGGGACTTGACCTGGGTGTGTCGCCGGAGAGCAAGGGCTGGGAGGTGCTCGACCTGACCGACAACAAGGTGGCCACGTCGGTCGAGGTGATCTTCTACGAGATGCTGTCGCTGGAGGTGTGGAAGGCGACGTATGGGCCGGCATCGGGGCGGACGTAGGCGCACCTGCCGTCGGACACCTCGACGGCGACAATTCCGTTGCTCGCCGAAGTTGACAAGCCTGCTGATGTGGATGTTGTGGAGGTTCTTCCCCCTCCCCCTGTCCTTGCTCCTCCGTTCCCCGTCACAAATCGGCCTAGGTCGGCACCTACGTCGACCACCGACGATGAGGGGAGCCTATGGGGCGTCGCCTGTGGCGCCGGCCCATGGCATCGCCGGCGGTCGAAAAGGCGCCAAACTCATCAACCAGGATGGGAAGCCGTCGACAACAGGGGAGTAGCAAACAGGGGAGCCGGTCGAACAGGAGGCAACAGCAGCGGTGCAGCCGACAGGGGGGCAGCAGTCGGGGCGGTCGACAGGGGAGCTGTCGAAGTCAGCAGCAGACGAGCAGCCAGACGACGGGTCAAAGCAGCTGGTCGACGACAAGGACGTCGACGAGGAAGGGGAGCAGTCGGCGGGTGAGGAGTCCACCAAAAGCGACGTGGTGGAAGTGCCGATCACGAAGCCTGAGCTGCGACGCACAGGACGAGCTCGACGGCCACCGGAGCGGCTGAGCTTCCACGCCTGCCTAGCGCCAGCTGCCTTCACCACGGTGTTCGACGAGGTCGAGGACGACCTGTTGTACGACGACGCCGAGGAGGATGAAGACCTGACGGAGCTCGACCCCGACATCCACCCGACCCCGAACCATGCTGGGACATTGCCACGATGACGGTGAAGGAGGCGACGTCGAGCTGGATTGGCGAGGCGGTGAAGGCCGCCATGGAAGAAGAGATTCGCAACCTCATCAGCATGGGCACTTGGGAGCTGGTCGAACGCCCACGTGGGGTGAACATCATGAAGAACCGGTGGGTGCTGACGACCAAGTACCGAATCGACGACACCGTCGAGCGCAAGAAGGCGAGGCTGGTCGTGAAGGGCTTCACGCAGGTGTACGGTGCCGACTATGACGAGACGTACTCGCCGGTGAGCAGCTACGTCACGCTGAGGATCTTCCTCAGCATCGTCGCCGTCCTCGACCTCAACCTGATGCAGCTCGACATGAAGAACGCTTTCCTGCAGAGCAAGCTCGACAAGGTGCTTTATATGTACCAGCCGGACTATTTCAACAATGGGACTGGCCGGGTGTGTAAGCTGATGAAGAGCCTCTACTAGCTAAAGCAATCGCCGCTGCTGTGGTACAAGGCTCTCAACAGTGTGCTGCTGAGCGCTGGCTGGAAGAAGAGCCAGGTCGACGAGGCGCTCTACTTCAAGGCCGGCGACGACGGAGTGACCTGCTGGGTGCTGGTCTACGTCGACGACCTGCTCGCCGCCAGCAGCAGCACCACGATGCTGAAGGAGCTGCTAGAGGTCGCCTTTGAGCTGCATGAGATCTTGCCGGTGGTGAAGTACCTTGGGCTGGAGATCGTGCGCGAGAGGCCGGCAAGGAAGCTGTGGCTGCACCAGCAGGGCTACGCCGACAAGTTGCGCAGGCGCTTCATCGACGAGGAGCAGGGCGGTCGAGTCCCGAAGACGCCGGTCTCGGTCGACGCCTACGCTCTGCTGACATTCGTCGACGAGGAGGCTCAGGAGCGCGAGGAGGAGGAGTACGGGCAGAAGGTCGGCTCGCTGCAGTTCGCGGCGACGATGACGAGGCCAGACATCGCGTTTGCCTGCAGCAAGCTGTGGAGCGGCCTCACGGTGAGGAGCGACCAGCATTGGCGCGAGGTTGACCGCTGCCTCGCCTACCTCGCCGACACCCGCGACACCGCCCTGGGGTTTGGCGGTGGACCAGAATTGTTGGAGCTGATCGGCTACGTCGACATCGACGACGCGGGCGACAAGCAGAACCGGACGAGCACGGGAGGCTACGTGTTCGTCTACAGAGGGGCCGCCGTCTCCTGGTCGAGCTCGCGCATCAAGTGCGCGACATTGTTATCTGTGAAAAATCTAGCAAGGCTAAGGAGCCATAGCTAGTAGGTCGAGTGAATTGAGTATCGAGCAAGTTGAAAAGTCGAGAGTGAAGAAGGGTTCAATAAAGAGCAAAGGTACAAAGATATAGGCAAGAACTAGGGTAATGAGGTGCACCACCAAACGGGAAACATAACTACACTAACACTACAGACAATTATATAAATATGAATAACATATTTCGACACACCCCCATAATTGTTTGCCGGTGTGAATGTAGTAACGCCTCCTAAAGAGGGTACACCATGTAGAGTGCAGCTGAAGTAGCAGCAGTAGGCAGGAGCAGTGACAACCAGTGCAGAAAACAGAGAACATAAGGGAGAGAGGAGAGAGAGAGGGAGAGAGAGGAGAGGAGGTGGTAGGCTCTGGTTGGTCACCCCCTATATCCCCTCACCCTCCCCCTCCCCCTCCCCCTCCCCCCCACACTGCTGCAGGAGCAGCAGAAGGGGGGCGAACGGAGGAGGATGGGAAGGGGAGACCACACATCACCCATCACCCCCACACCCGCCACCCCCAGTCCCTCCCCGGGCTCCCCCACACCCTCACACCCTCCCCCCCAGCGGCAGCTGCAGCAGAGGGAGCAAAAGGAGGAGGAGAGGGGAGGGGGGGGGGGGGGGGGGGGGACGCACGGCCTCCGTGGGCGCCAAAGCAGGCGGCAGAGGGGGCGACGCCTGCCCCCCCCTTCCAGGTAGCCCCTCACGTCGCCTCGACAGGTGACGGGAAAGGGGGGGGGGGGGGGGGGCGGTGCACGTGCCCCCGGTGTGCCGCAGCTGGCGACGGGGCATGGCCGGGGCGGGGTCGGGGCAGCAAGTGGGCGGGGCCATAGGTAGGCGACGGGGCCGCAGGTGAGGGCGGCGGGGCCGCAACCTGTCAGACTTTATATTATTTATATTTGTAACTGCCTGTAGCTATAGTTAGTGTAGTTATTATAAACCTAGTTTGGTGGTGCACCTTCATTGTTTCCTATGCTATATGTTCTTTGAAACCTATAGTGAAACCCCTTTTCCCAACTCACCCTTGGCACGATCTTCTCGAACTCGTTGGCCTAGGCTACTAAGCCTAGGCCGTCCTATTCCCTACCAAGCTTGTATCTTAACATGGTATCAGAGCGAGTTTCGTCCTGGCCTGTGGGCCCGCCCAATGCTTCCGCTACTGTATTTCTGGTCACGCGCCTCGGGCGCGTGACGTTTTTTCTTTTCTACCCGTCGCGGACCTGCTTCTGGCGCCCGCGACGGCGCCCTGAGCCGTCGCGGACCCGCCTTTGGCGCCTGCGACGGCGCCCTTAGCCGTCGCGGACCCGCCTCTGGCACGCGACGGTGCCCTGCTCGTCGTGCGCCCCGAGGCACACGACGGTGCCCTTGCCTTAAACTTACTCGTCGTGCGCCCCGTGGCAAGCGACGGGCCTTTCCGCACCCGCTCTCACTACAGCCGCCCCTGACCTACCCGCCCCGACACATGGTAGCCGCTCTGCGGCTTTCTACCCGCCCACCCCCTCCTCCTTTGTCTCCCTGCAGCCGTGGGGGGGAGGGTATGGGGGTGGCGGGTGTTGGAGCTTTGGGTCATTTCCTTCCCTTCCCCTCCTCCTCCTTTCGTTCCCATTGCTGCAGCTGCCGCTGGGGGGGAGGGTGTGAGGGTGTGGGGGAGAAGGGGGAGTGGCACCAGGGTGGCGGGTGTGAGGCAGCTAGCAGCCGTCCCTCCACCCCTCCTCTCTTCCCCCCTGCCCTCTGCTGCTCCTGCAGCAGTGTGGGGGGAGGGGAAGGAGGAGGGTGAGGCGATGGAGGGGGTGACCAGTTAGTGTCAACCCGCCTGCAGTACCTGCTTTTGCTTGTTTTATCATCTTGCTTGTGTTGCTTGTGTACCCCTGCAGGTTGTGTTCTGCACAAACTCCTGCTGCAGGCAGTTATGGGGGAGTGTTAGACTTTATATTATTTATATTTGTAACTGCCTGTAGCTGTAGTTAGTGTAGTTATTATAAACCTAGTTTGGTGGTGCACCTTCATTGTTTCCTATGCTATATGTTCTTTGAAACCTATAGTGAAACCCCTTTTCCCAACTCACCCTTGGCACGATCTTCTCGAACTCGTTGGCCTAGGCTACTAAGCCTAGGCCGTCCTATTCCCTACCAAGCTTGTATCTTAACACAACCGAGGGCGGCGACGGGCTGCAAGTGAGGGTGGCGACGGGGCCGAAGCTGAGGGCGGCGTCAGGGCCGCAGGTGAGGGCGGCGATGAGCCGCAAGTGAGGGCGGCGACGGGCCGCAGGTGAGGGCGGCGACGGGGCCGCAGATGAGGGTGGCGATGGGCCGCAGGTGAGGGCGGCGACGGGGCCGCAGCTGAGGGTGGCGGGGCCGCAGCGAAGGGCGACGGGGCCGCAGTGAAGGGCGGCGGGGCCGCAGCGAAGGGCGGCGGGGCCGCAGTGACGGGCGGCAGGGCCGCAGCGAAGGGCGGCGGGGCCGCAGCGAAGGGTGGCGGGGCCGACGCGAAGGGCAACGGGGCCGCAGTGAAGGGCGGCGGGAGGGCGGCAAAGGGGCCGCGAGGGGCCAGAAAGGGCGGCAACGGGGCCGCTAAGAAAAAAGGATAAGGGGCACGCAACGGGGCGTGCCGAACATAGAGTAGCAGCGGAAGCTTTAGGGTGGGCCCACAGGTCACGATCTTGGTCAATCTGATATCATGTGAAAAATCTAGCAAGGCTAAGGAGCCATAACTAGTAGGTCGAGTGAATTGAGTATCGAGCAAGTTGAAAAGTCGAGAGTGAAGAAGGGTTCAATAAAGAGCAAAGGTACAAAGATATAGGCAAGAACTAGGGTAATGAGGTGCACCACCAAACAGGAAACATAACTACACTAACACTACAGACAATTATATAAATATGATAAACATATTTCGACATTATCGACCGAATTGGAGTACGTGGCGGCCACGGATGCCGGCAAGGAGGGACGTCGACTTCGCTTCCTCCTTGCGGAATTCAAGCTGCTCGACGCTGGGAAGCCGACCATCCTCCGCGTCAACAAGTCGGCAATCACGATCGGTGAGGGCTTGGGGCTGACGGGCAACCTCAAGCACATCGAGCGACGCTACGTCTGGCTGCAGCACATGGTGAGGCGGGGGAAATTTGTGCTGAAGTACATCCCGACCACCGAGTAGCCGCCGGACTTCCTGACAAAGGCGCTGCATTTTCCGGCTTTCAATCGGTTCTTTGTCGCCATTGGCCAAGTTCGTCTGGCCGACGTCGGCGAGGGCGATGACGAAGTGCAGTAGTAGGTGCCGTTCCCTTCTCCACGGCTAGTGAGGTGACGGCGTGCTATGTGTGTGGTGCACATCGAGGACGAGTCTTCTCCGTGGAGTACTGCCGTGTGGGCTGGAGGCCCGAGCGAGAGCGCGGCAGGGGAGTGTTAACGGGAATGGAGTGTTGGCCTCGCCCTCGCTTGGGCAACGCTGACGACTTGGTCGGATGTACGGGAGTAGCACCCGGCCGTTCACAGTGGGAGAGCTGCTCGGCTGGCTTCGTCGAGCTGCAGGGGACCGATGTGGTGTTGCTGTCGACCATGGAGCTCGACAGCTGCAACTGACTGGTCTGGGAGACGGGTGGGACGTCGACCAGGACCTGCAGCTCGACCGGGAGGTCTCCAGAGCATTCCGTCAACCTGCAGCTTGACCGGGAGGTCTGCGAAGCATCTCGTCGACCTGCAACTCAACCGAAAGGTCTCCGAGCATCTCGTCGACCTACAGCTTGACCGGGAGGTTGAGGGAGCAGTCTTTCGACCTGACAAGTGAGCAGCTGTCGGCGAGGGGAGCTTGGCGACAACCGCTGACTGTTCCGGTCGACGGAACGGGTTCGTCGACCAGGGGGTAGCTCGACGGGAGTTGTGATCGACCAGAGGCACCTGGTGGTCGACCAGAGGCACCTGGTGGTTGACCAGAGGGACCTGGTGGTCGACCAAAAGCAGTGGTGGTCGACCGGAAGCACCTGGTGGTCGATCGGGTCGACCGGGTAACCTGCTCGATGAGTTCTCCGGAGGCACGCGAACGTCGTCGAGGATGCGATGGCGCAGGCGACTGCGAGTTGGTATCCCATAGTCGATATGGCTCGTCAGGCGCAGACAATAGCCAGCGGATGCCCAACGAGGCAAGTCGGGCCAATCGTCTGCGCGCATCTGTGAGTGTGCGCACTACTGTGTTCTACGGGGCAACACTGGACAGCCGCTCTGCTGCAGCGTTGGCACGCCGTCGACCTGCTCTGTTGGCAGGTCGCCCTTGTGCAGTGTCAGCGCGGCTCCTCTACGCAACATAGGCAGGCGGTTGACCGAGCTGCGCTGGCGGTCGACCAGGCTAGCAGCGGGGTCGCTAGGTGCCTGATATAGTCATTGTTGCCATTGCTTGTTGAATCATTCAGTAATTCCAACTTTGCTAGTGAAACTCTTGCCAACTTCTCCCGTGAATGTGCCAACACAAGCAAAGCTACGATCACTCCTAGTAGTTCGTCCCAACCCCTTAGTCTAGCTCACTACCGTTGTAGAGTGACTCTCCACAAGGATGTCACACCATAGGACGGTAAATCGTTCAGTGCTCACATCTCGAAGGGGTTGATCGCAGCCGGCGAGCCTCTCCTGCACCTCTTCTTTGGACAGCTTCGCCCACTCCCATTTACTACCATCGCGCCGCAGCTTGGCCAGAACTGTCGCCCGGAAAAACCTGCATAAGCATGGCATAGACGGTCGGTAAGCATGGGGCACGCTCCGCTGGGAATTTGCATGCGACGTCGACTACACTGTCGAGCTCACTTCAGCACGCGGATCGCCTCATCGCGGTGCCACTCCTTCACTGTCTGCGGGTCAGCGTGCCGGATTAATGTCCTGATCTTCTGCCCCGATGCCTTCAACAAATCGCTGGGCCACAGGATGATGACAACGCTGCAATGTGATCCTGGGACCAGTGCGATGCTGCACAGACAATGCACGTCGACTTCGCTTAGAACAGATCACGGACACTGATTGCAGCACACAACAGGGCGACCCCGAACTAGTTCACCTCGATGTTAGTGGGATAACCGCTACGTCGGCGTCAAAAACCATCGCGAAGCATGTGTGGTCGTCTTGTCCCATCGCTGCCCGAAAGCCGGTCGACTCCTATCGACCACAATCACTCGCTCGTCGACGTTGCGTGCATCCATGCGTGCCTGCACGTATGCATAGTAAGAAGAATAGAATGACGGGGTGCACGGCACGATGGTGGATACGACGGTTGTAGCAATAGTACGACGGTTTATCACCCTCGCAGCGGTGTAATTAAGGGAGCCGAACGACTATGGCACAACCAAGCGCCGACGCCGACCTAACACCGTACGTCGACATCAACGACGTGATCGACATGAACCCTAAACTCGTCAACCTAAACGACGAGTCGCATGGAACCCCGCGAATGCTCGACGCCGACATCCCCGGAAGACACTTACTTGAGGCCGAGTCCCAAGCAAGGAGCGTTAAACGTGAGAACGGCGCAGTCGTATTCCTCGAACTTGGCAGTGAGTCCTCTACCGTTGTTAAGATGCAAGGGGAAGTCCTGAGAAGTCGGCGCCGCTTCGGCGACTTTCGGGTCGGCCACCATGGCGGGAAAGCAAGGATGCTACAGGCTAAGGGAAGATGCGGTGGGAGTATGGAAGGCGCAGAGCTAGGAAAAAGGATGAAATAGAAACGAGAAAGCGAAAATGAGGGCCGAGTCCACCTTCCACAAAGAAAAGCGAGGCGGAGCCTCGCAGGCCCGGTTGAGCATCGCCTCATGGGTCGTGGTGCCTGGCTCGGCAGGGCTCATGCACAAGTGGCGTGGCACAAGTGCACTTCGCCGCCGAGCAGGTCGACGTCACGTCCCCTGGCCTCGGTCGGCCAGGGTGCGCAAATTCGCATGCGCGCGGTGCGACGTTTCGATCGATACGAGTCGATTTCGCTGCGGGTAGCGAGAATGTTGCGCCGCGATGCGAGCAATCTAATGTCGCTCGAATTTCGGCGGGTGCGAAATGTGCATTCGATGCGAATTCACGTGCGAACACGTGGCGTCACCGCAACGGGTCGCGAAATTGTCGAATGTCCCGAGAGGAGCACCTGAATTTCGCATGGCCCTCGTTTGCCCGTCCGGGCAGGTCGCGAGGGTCACAAGGACTTCGCAGGCAGCAAGGACGGAAGGGCTGCCGTCGCGCGAGGGTAACTTTCCCTTGCGCGAGGGGGTCGCCACTTCGCCGCCCCCACACGATAACGTGGGGCGCTGTTTACTTTCGTGGAGGGGTTGCGAGGCGGCGGTCGTGCGCTCGGCCCAGCCCTGGGCCAGGCTGGCAGGCCTGCACGCGCGTCAGTTGCTCGCCTCGTCATGCCCGGCTCTGAGGACCCCTCCTGACGACCCAGGCAAATCGACTCCGACGGCCGAATTGCGTTGGGATGTTCATTTCAGGTCGTGACTCCTGAGATGGTCTTCGACTCTTCGCAATTTTGCAGTCGCCAAGTTGGGGGGGGGGGGGGGCAACGTCAAGAACGTAAAAAGTTATGGAATGCGCGGTGGTTCGGTGCATGTTCTGATATGGTGGTGTTTGCTGGGATACCATAGCAACATGTCTGGGAAAATTGCGAAATGCCCAACCAGGGGCTTGCCTCTGACACATCTTGCGAAAATGTGACTGGTTGAATTTCTGTTTTGTGGACCGTCGAGTTCGTGAACCAAGCCCGTTACGTAACTCGTTGCTTGGCTAGGACCTCGGTTTACACCCACTTATTCGTTTGATGCACCCGCGATTATGCCACCAGCTCGGTACGTTCACATAGAAGGTTGGGAGCGATGCGTTTATGTCATATAGGATCGATTCACGCGCGTAATCAGTTCAGCATTGAATTGCTAAACGTTGAAGAAAATTGGTGGCAGAGCACTACAGTTACACGCATTCGCGCTAAAGGCGAGGCCAAAATTATTAGTTATATTTAGGTCAGGCCGGCCTACAGTTGCAAAAACGTATTTATAGCCACATTTTGGGAGCAGGGACGGCAATATGCAGAGATATGTGACTCGTAGACGTTAAAAGCAGGCCCCAAATTTCAAGGGTAAAATACCCTTTTTTCCCTGATGGTAGGCCGCTTGGCAGTTACCCTTGTGAAATCAGGCTATGCAATTTTTTACCCTAGTGAAATCAAGATACTGAGAAAAGTACTCTTGTAACAATTTTAGTTACACTGACTGTATCAGGGTACGGGCTCAACTACACTTTTACCGGATCTTTTTCTAACTGAGTATTCCGCCACAGGACGCGCAAAGACAAATTTCACCACGGACCCACTGGAGCATTTGTACGATATGCCCACTAGCGCGCCAACGTAGAAGCAGTGCGGCTGCACGCGCACGTTCATGATTGGTCCGTTGAGCAGCATCCAAGCAACGTAGGGTGTTCCCGAAGCATCGCTCACTGCCAAGGGTGCCAAAATGCGCGACAGGTGGGTTTCGTGCTGTCGTTTGCACCACATGGCAGTGATTGTGGTGTTGCAGCCTCTGCCATGCACTTGCCGCAGTGCGCGGAAACCGTTTTGCTTGGGCCTTCTTGGGCTTTGTGATTCCCAAGGAGTCTCTCAGCCTATCGCCATTCTCTCACCTTTCTCACGTTCGTCGTTCGACTGTTCTCACCTTTCTAAGTATTTGCTAATGCATCAGTGTACCGGAGAACACCCTGCTGAAATCAGTGTACCCAAATTTTACACTGCTGTAAACAGTGTACCACGAAAATTACCCTAACTGTCAGGGTACGGAGGGCCTGCCACCCTGATTTGAAAGAGTGAGACTAAACCTATTTGGGCCCTGGTTAAAGCGGGCAAAAACGACAAGCACCTCCGACCGAAACGCGCTTGGTGAGATAAACGAATAAGTGGGTTTACAAATATCAAGTTCGACACGATGAACCCCCATCGAGCCTGTAAAACGACACACGACAGAGAGGACCCCGTTTCACACATGATGCACCGCGCCCTGTGCATCTTGTTCGTCAAGGTGCAAAACGGAGACGCTTAATAACCGTTGTGCACCATCTGGAATCGTCTTGCGCCACGACGGATGAACTGAAAACGAACGCGCTTGACCCGCCGTCAGTCTACATCAGCAGGGAGATGCGTGCAGGGAGCGCCTCCCTGCTCTGACGTGTGGGCAAAGCCACCTCGGTCCAAAAATGAATTGGACGTGAATGTTAACTCCCAGGTTCCAGGCATTTTAGGAAACTTGATTCTGCCAGCATTTAGGCCAGCCACCGTTTCTGATAGTTTCGGTGCTTGTTCGCGGCGATCTATGGCGGAGGTTTTCGTTGTCAGATCCGAGGATGAGTGGGGGACTTTTCTCCGCAGCGGAAAAGTGGTGAGCTGAACTGCGTCGATCTAGCTCTCAGTGTCGCTGTCGCGGCTGGGTCTGCAGTTTCGTTATGCTCTCGCATGCCGAGAATCGATTCTATGTTTCTTTTTTGTACTGTGTTGGCTACAATCGATAGCCGTCGCACCTGAACTTGATTAAGTTTCTGACCTTGGTGCTCCTTCATTTTTCAGTTCATTGTGGATTTCACAGCGACTTGGTGCGGCCGTTGCCGGTCAATCGACCCGGTTTTTGACAAATATGCGACTCGATATTCATCCATCACCTTTCTTAAAGTGGATGTCGACGCTCTTTCGGTTCGTCTTCTCCATGATTTATCCTGCCTGTCGCTTTGTCGAGACCTGTTTTTATCTGCCCTTTACCAATAGTTTCCGTCACTTTGAGATCGCTAAAGGGTTCCTTGCTTCCCAACATTGCTTTCGAACATTGCTTCCCAACATTGCTTCCCAACATTGCTTCCGAACCTTGCTTCCGAACCTTGCTTCCGAACCTTGCTTCCGAATCTTGCTTCCGAACATTGCAGGCAGTGGCAGAGCAGTTCAACATTACCACCACGCCAACCTTCCTTGTGTTCGTGAACGGGGAGAAGGCGGACGAAGTTGTTGGAGCGTATCAGGCGAAGCTACTTGAGTTGATCCAGAAGTACGCTTCCTAGGGTATCGACTCAGCGAGCTGAGCTCCGCGCCCCCGCTGTTGGGGGACGTGTTGGGGGTGGCGGACAGCGGGGGGGAGGTGTTGGGGGTGGTGGACAGTGATGGGGAGGCAGTGGGGGTGGCGGACTGTAACACCCAATACAAGATGAAGCTCTAGCTAGCTCCCAATAGCCTTTGAGGTGCCAATCTTCTTGAAGGAGTTGTTGAAATAGCTTGAGAATTGTGTAAGAAGGCTTGTGAGAGAGCCCAAGATGACTTGAGAAACAATCCCATTTCCAATTATTTAGTTGGAGTGGGGGGTTGAGGATGAGCTTGCTTAGCTCAGACCCCATCAATACACCTCTTGGAGAACTATCCTAACCATGGTTTCCATGGTGGGATGGTTCTTAGGCCTGGAGCCTATGTGGCAATTGTGTTGGGTTGGAAAACCCAACTTAGAACCATTCAATGGTTGTGTTTAGGATAGAGTAGATTGTAACAATTGTTTGGCAGCTTCTGATTGGTTGGAATTCCAACCTTTGATGGGTTGGAATGTTCCAAGCCTCAATGTTGAGGTTTGGATAAACCCAACCAACCCTTCCTTCCCAACCCCTCCTTCCCAACCCCAACTACAATCTCCCGCAACGCAACCTTCATCGAGTTCAATCTCGAATGATTGCCTTAGGAGTGAGGTAGCTCGATAGGTAGGAGTAGGGGCTGCGTTACACTCCTCTCCCCCTAGGTGGCAACGTCCCCGTTGCCCTAGGGTGCTTCTGAGGACGAGTGCTTCGAGCACGGCGCACCACATTACGACCAGGGTCAACCCCGTCCACTGGTTGTGGGCCTGCTCGTAGAGCCATGTCTTCCATATACGCTTGAACCGCTGCTTCGGTCAAGTGTTCCTCAGGCTCCCAAGAGTTGTGTTCCGGCCCATAGCCTTTCCACTGAATTAGGAACTCACAAACTGTTTTGCGGCCGCGTTGTCGATCACGGTGCGTTAGCACACGCTCGACTTCATAAAAGAGTTCCTCCTCGAGAACGATAGTTGGTGGCGGTAAGTACTTGCTTTCAGCAACATACTTATTCAACAGAGACACGTGGAAGACGTTGTGAATCTGCAGTGTTGCAGGCAACTTAAGCCTATATGCGACCTCACCAACTCGCGCTATCACCTCGAAGGGCCCAATCCAACGAGGGAAGAGCTTTCTTGCTCCCGGAATCTTAAGATGAATGTTCTTCGTACTCAGTAATACTTTGTCGCCAACTGCATAGACGACTTCCCGGCGTTTCATGTCGGCATAGGACTTTTGCCTCTGTTGGGCAAGCTGCAGCCAATGGCGAGCGGACTTCAAAGCCGCTTGCTGTTATCCAATAAAGTCCTTTGCGGCAGGGATTTTGAGGTTCTTAATCCCATGCGTCGCAGGGGTTGTAGGGTGCCGACCACAGTTCAGGACAAAGGGTTTCTCGTGGGTGCTTTCATGCACAGAATTGTTCACAGCAAATTCCACGACTGGCAACAATTCATCCCAATCGTCCTGAGTTGGGCTTATGAAAGAACGAAGCATTTGCTCAAGATTGCGGTTGGTCCGC